ATTATAACTGTATACTCAATTTGCTTCTGACACGATAAATAAATAAATCCCCAGCATTCTGCTTTTTGGAAAAGTGGAGTACCTTTGTGCATTGCTATGACTGTTGGTGACTGGACTGACCTTGAAGGAGCTGGGGGTGGTGACGGCCGACAGGGAGCTCTCGCGTGGGCTGGTCCATGAGGTCACGACTGAACGAATGAACAACAACATGACTGTTGGATAAAGATAAGCATCAACCTCGTCAAAAGGCACACGCTAAGGATGTTGTCATGGCAGATAAAGTGGGATTATTCCAATACGATAGTCTAGTGCAGATGGCTCATTAGGTACAATGAATGAAAGCCGAGTATGTGGTTTGCTTGGCCTCTCTTCTCCATTGAAAGTGGCAAGAATCCCACCCGAGACTCCAACTATCAGAATAGACAACACTGACCTAAGTAAACCAATCTTTTTCAATAGAAGGCAATTTCCTATATTGCTTCCTCTCCTAATGGCTGAACAATGATCAGAGATTAATAGAATGGCATTTACGTCCAGACAGCAGGAAAGCAGCATGGGAGATAGTTAGAGCACAAGCCCAATATGGAATGCTCATCACATCCATTTAAATGAAGGAGATGCAATTTAATTTGCAGGCAGAAGAAGGAAACATTATAGGGAAGGAAACAAAAATATGAGACAGTGGGTGGTGCTGTGTGCCAGGAAATATTTCAAGCTCTTGGACTTTTGGAAGATTGAGGCAGGGAATGGTTAGAGTAGTGTTTCTCAACCTTCCGAATGCCGCGACCCCTTAATACAGCTCCTCATGTTGTGGTGACCCCCAACCATAACATTATTTTCATAGCTACTTCATAACTAACATGTTACTAACAGGAGCGTGACGCAGGGAGCATACAACGCCCTTGCTGTTCCAGCTCCACTGGCTGCCGATTTGCTACCGGGCCCAATTTAAGGTGCTGGTGTTATCCTACAAAGCCCTAAACGGTTCCGGCCCAAAATACCTTTCGGACCGCATCTTGGCCTATGAGCCCACGAGGACCTTGAGATCGTCTGGGGAGGCCCTTCTCTCGATCCCGCCTGCTTCACAGGCACGTCTGGCGGGGACGAGAGAAAGGGCCTTCTCGGTGGTGGCCCCCCGGCTGTGGAACGACCTCCCTGCTGACATCAGACAGGCGCCCTCCCTTCTGTCCTTCCGTAAGAGCCTGAAGACCTGGCTATTTGAGAAGGCATTCAACTGAGCGCTACGGCAACTGGTAATTGACAACTGGAACGGAATACGGATTACGGTATTGGTTATGATTCTATGATGTGACGGAGCGGATTATTTAGTGTAACTTAGATTATAGTGTATTATTGTTGTATTGATTTCCTGTTTTGCCCTTTTGTAAACTGTTTTTATATGTTGTGCACCGCCGCGAGTCGCCCTAGGGCTGAGAGCGGCGGTCAATAAATGCAGTAAATAAATAAATAAATAAATAAATAAATAAATAAATAACTGGAATCTTGCTCCTATTATTAATCGTAATGTAAATATCTGATATGCAGGATGTGTTTTCTTTCACTAGACCGAATTTGGCACAAATACCCAACGCCCAAATTTGAATACTGGTGGGGTTGAGGAGGATTAATTTTGTCATTTGGGACAAAATCTGGGATTTATAGTTCACCTACAATCAAAGATCATTCTGAACTCCACCAACAATGGAATTGAACCAATCTTGGCACACAGAACTCCCATGCCCAACAGAAAATATTGGAAGGATTTGGTGGGCACTGAACTTGAGTTTTGGAGTTGTAGTTCACTGTGGACTCAAACAATGTTGGATCTGGACCAAACTTGGCATGAATACTCAATATGCCCAAATGTGAACACTGGTTGAGTTTGATGAAAATAGACATTGACATTTGAGAGTTGCTGAGATTTCTAGTTCTCCTACAATCAAAGAGCAGTCTGAACTCCATCAATGATGGAATTGAAACATCTGTGTGGGAAGTTTGTCCCAATTCTATCGTTGGTGGGGTTCCGAATGCTCTTTGATTGTAGGTGAACTATAAATCCCAGCAATTACAACTCCCAAATGACAAAATCAATCCTCCCCAACCCCACCAGTATTCAAATTTGGGTGTATCAGGTATTTGTGCCAAATTTGGTCCAGTGAATGAAAAGACATCCTTTATATCAGATATTTACATTACGATTCATAACAGTAGCAAAATGACAGTTACGAAGTAGCAACAAAAATAACGTTATGGTTGGGGGTCACCACAACATGAGGGACTGTATTAAGGGATCACGGCATTAGGAAGATTTAGAAACACTCAGAGGCGGCCCTAGGTAATTTTCAATGGTAAGCAAACAGTATTTTGATGCTCCCTCCCCCAAACAATCACCGATATATATTTTCTGTTCGTCGTGGGAGTTCTGTGTGCCATTTCTGGTTCAATTCCATCATTGGTGGAGTTCAGAATGCTCTTTGATTGTAGGTGAACTATACATCCCAGTAA